CATAAACTTGGATTACTGTGATGTTGAAAGGTCTGCCTTGGATTTGTATTCAAATCATTCTATTATTTTTGAGATTTTATCCCATTACAGCTTTTCCCACTCTTTATTTGACTATGAGGGCTACTCCATTTCTTCTACGGGATTCTTGCCTGCCATATAACAATCATCCAAATTGAATTCACCCACTTCCGTCCATTTTAGTTCACTGATGCCCAGGATGTAAATGTTTATTCTTGCCATCTCCTGTTTGACCACATCCAGATTGGCAAAGTTCATAGATCTTACATTCCAGGTTCCTATGCAGTATTTTTCTTTGCAGCATCGGACTTTCCTTTCACTTCCAGGCACGTCCACAGCTGAGTGTCCTTTCGGCTTTGGCCCAACCACTTCCTTAGCTCTGGAGCTACTTGTACTTGTCCTCTGCTGTTCCTTAGTAGCATGTTGGATGCCTTCTGACCTGAGGAGCTCTTCTTCCCGCATCATATCTTTTAGCCTTTTGTTTCTGTTCATGGAGTTTTCTTGGCAAAGATAGTGGAGTGGCTTGCCAGTTCCTGTTCCAGATGGATCGCATTTAGTCAGAATTCTCCACTATGACCTGTCCATCTTGGGTGTCCCTGCATGGCATAGCCCATAGCTTCTCTGAATTACTCAAGCCCCTTCGCCATGACAATGCAGCAATCCATGAAGGGGGCAGCAATCCATGAAGGGGGCATAGGGAGCTTTAAATTAAATCAAATTAAATTAAGAGTAACTTCATGGGCCAAAAATGTCATAGCCATTTAGGGCTGCATAATTATGCAAGAGGATTTCAGCCAGCATACACAAATAAGACTAAAGATCTTAAATCCAAATAGTTTGGGGCTTATCTACTTCCTGTAGGGTCCTGTAAACAGAATGAAAACTGAACAAATATTTCAGACATTTAGGGAAAGTTAAAAGGGACGAGCAATAAGTTACCTATGTATAACATACAACATCCTCTGTCTAAACTATGTCCTGTCATAAACTACAGTCAAAATCTTGTGGCAAAGATAAGGAAAAATTGTTTTTAAAATGTGCTTATTCATTAACTTCAATGGAAGGCAAGCAAGACTATTTCAGGCTCTGCCAATAGCTTCTCTGAAATAACCTGTCAGTTTCTCTTAGATGAATGGGGAATTTCTGGCTCACAGGTCAGATTCAGCTCACAACGTCTCCTCATCTCAGTCTTTGGAAATTGAGAACAAAAAATGTATTGATTAGAGTTAATACACATCAGAGTAAGAGCAGTCGGAACCTCAAAAAAACATGACTTCCCAACAGAGAGTATTCCCTCTACATTTTCAACAAAATACTCAAAGGAAGGGAATCCCCTCATAACTTTATCCAGAATAAATACAAGAACTTTTCATTTAATGTGACATAACTGAAGAACAAATTCATGTGTGTGACAGAATCTTGGCCAATCTGCATGGTAACGGGAAAGGAGACTGGTGGTTGCAGGTGGCCAGTCTATTCAGGAAAGCCTGAAAGAGGGACCTGGAGAGAGCTGAAATGAGAGGGGAGTCAGAATGTAACTGAAGACTGTGTTTTGGGCAGTTGGGCTGTAACTGGAAAAAGCTGATACTGAAATCTGTTTCCTTATAAGTTGTTGCTTTATAATAAAGAGAAAATCATTTTTTCCATCCTTTAACCTTTTGCTCTAATACGCTTAATGGCTGGAGTCAAGCCCTTAAAAGACAGGTTATTTTAAATGTGACAGACTTGGATAGGTGCTGTCACCATGTGCATTTTACTTAAGCAGGGAGATAGGAAATAAAATCAAATTTATTCTTTCTTATGTGTGTGCAGGTCAAATCACCTGAGCATCTGTGCAACATTACACTAGTAACTCAGTACACAACAGCAAAATTATTTTTACTTGTTAATAACAATTATTCAGAAATTAAAATATCTTTACAATCATACTGGAATGAAAACTCATACTAGAAGTTTACTTCAAATATGACAAATTGTGGGAAACAGTATTCAACAGTGCAACTATTTTTAATTTATTTGCAGCTGAAGAAGCAAAAAAAGAGGACTAGAAATTTATCCATCCCCATGCTGCTGATGGTGAAAATATCACATTGCTGGCATGTGTGGAAAAAGAGCAAAAGAAGGATTAAACAATAAATCAATGTGTTATCATAGTAACAGTCTCTGCTACACTTATCAAAACTGAAAACAAAGATTGCAGTGCATTCCTTGGGAGCAAAAAGGCTGAAACTAATACTGGTGAAGCAACACGGTCCTTTACTTCTCCACTCCTGCTACTATTCTCTTTTCAGTGGGCAAAGCCTCAAGTTGTGCAAACGGACTTTTCTTGCATTTTATCCTCCTCTTCCTGCAGTCCACAGCAATTCCATAAAATTGCCCTGCAGGGATCACAGCCAACTGCAGTAGATAATAAGGATACAGCCTTCTAACGTGCCGTCTAATTTTCTGCCCTGCTGGGCAGGGAATCCATTTCTCTCTTTCCTCTCTCTCTCTCTTGTGACTTCGACCCAGCATGCACACAGGATTTTGTCACAACTGAAATCAAAAGGGTTCAATGCAGTCGCTGCATGGAGGAGGAAGAGAGCTGCATGGAAGGAGGTGGAGTTGCACATACATGTCTTGGTGGGAACCTTGCATCCTTCCCATTTTAGAACACAACCCTTCCCATTCTTTTGATGGAAACAGTTCTGTCAGTGGGATACAAGTGGATAAAGCCCTTTAAATTAAAAAAAAATTCTATCAAATGAATACAGACTTAGTTGTATATCCTGTCCCAGTGAGAAATGGACTAATGAATGTCATTATATAGAAGTTAGAAGCCTGAAAAAAAACCCAAGCTGTATTTATATTCTAGGACATTTACAAATCACTTACTTTCATGGCTATTCAATTCAGTTTTTTAATAATACCAAACCCAAAGCAAAAGGTAAGAGGCAAATACAGCTCCTAAAATTTCGAATCCTAGAATCCTAAGTATATCTGCATTGCTTAACTCCACTGAAGCAAATGACTTTTAATATAGCTTTGTTTTTAGCCACTTCCCATAGGAGCATGACCTATATGGATCCACGCGTGTCATACCATAGTTCTTTGTTCACCTTCAGAGGAAAGTGAACAGTCTAATGAAAGAGACACAAAATATTCTGATCTCATTCTGCCAGTCCTCTAAGAATCCCTACTAGGCATGGACCGCCTTCAAACCGCCCTTGTTCTACACAAAATGCAAGCAGATTTTATGTTTCTATTCCAGCCATTGAGAATACAGTAGGACCACAGTATCTGCAGGAGATCGGTTCCAAGCCCCCCATAGATGTTGAAAAACATGAAAGTAGTGAATGCATGTTCTCTGGTTCCTTCTAGGAGCCAGTTCTGGTAAATACATCCTGGAAATTATATGGGGGGCACTATTTAGTATTTTCAGGCAGCAGATAAGTGAATCAGCGAATACTGATCCCACAGATAGGAGGTCCTACTGTATTCACCTGACTCCTGAGGGTTCAGCAGTGAAAGGAAGATGGCTGCAGGCTGCAGGCAGAGATTCATTACTCTGCTGTTAATCCACTACAGTTCTAGGCTGAAAGCAAAGCCTCAAGTAAAATCAGCACAGAATGCAAGTAGGGTGGCAGAAGAGACATAGATCCTTCCATTCTTCTGCAATTAAACCAACTTATTTCTCACCTGTGATGATGCAAAACCTCACAGTGGTGGTTTCTAATTTACAAATATCTCATGGTGGCAAATATCTTACAATGGTAGTCCTAATTTATAAGACTGGATTAATAACCTTAAGAGAATCTAGGACTGGAGACAATCACTCAGACAAGTATCACTATTTTCAAAAGACTGCAGGGGACCAGTTCAGAAGGGCCACTCCACATCTGGATAGGATTGAGGAGGATTTTCTTTGTGCAAAGCAGCCCTGGTTGGACATCACTTTCTCCGAAGACGTCACGTGACATTATCACTGTTAAGAAACTGTTTTATGCCACAGTAAACATTTCCCTACTTGCCATGGGCACGACTTTCCTAACAGATGCAGCTCTATGAACAGAAATAAGATTAGGGGATGATCTCCCTTCCTCCTACAGCCCTCCCCAAATAAGCCCTTTTTAGGTAATTGTGAGTGCCATGCTTTTCCCACTGCAGATGTCTGGGGGTGGGGAGGGAATCAAGAGAAAACCCTGACATTACCAATGCTTAGAGTTGGACTTAACCCCATGAAGATTCAAGTACCAAGAAAGATTCCTGAAAGGAAGGTAATGCTTAAGAAAACTCTTTTGGGGGTTGTGTTTATTTTGTTTTGTATACTGCTAATGTGGAGGACCTAAATGAGAATTTCAGAGGAAAGAGGGTTCTTTTCTCCTTTTTAAAAGGAAGCCATTTTTACTGGAGTTCAGAAAGGATCATTATCCTTTAACATGTTTTAAAGGTTCTCACCCATCTATTTATTTGTTTTCATTTACAGAAAAGAGCTGTTCGTTTAGTGATGAATACTATTCCTATGGGCAGAGATATTAGAATATGTATGGTTAAAAACAAGCCTACGAATTTAGGATCATCCTAAGCTTGATACAGTAACGAAGTTCCATCAGGATGTCAAGCCCTGCTGCCAAGAATGATTCAGGCAGAATGTTGTCTTTTTGGATGAATTTAAACTGAACACCAGCTGGGTCCAAAAAGTCCAATCTTGACAGATTACAGCTAAAATAAACACAATTTGCACTTACCTCATCAAATATTTCGAGATAGAAAGAATCCACCCCAGGGGGAACAGTACACTGAATAACTTTGTTCCATCTGGGATTTTTGGCTCCATTGTGAGCTGTAGGCGTTTCGTAGACAGCATAACCAAGTCGTATTCTGCAATATGGATCCATGCGTGTCATACCATAGTTCTTTGCCAATTTTGCCTGAGGAAATATACAAAAAGAGAATTAATCATCTTGATATTACTTTTTAATGGCATCCCTAGAACAAAACATTTAAACCTTTCAGCTGTAATCAGCATATTAATGGTTGTATTAACCAGTAAGAAGGATAGTTTTATAAACAATGTCGATTTAATATAGAAATGAAAATCAAGACTCCTGCCAAACTATTTACATTTGCTCACTTTAAATTTAGTCCACCTGGTCACAACATTCTAGATCACATCCTGCTGTCACCATAAAGGAATGCACTTACACCCACTCAGCTGGCATAGGTCTAGTTTAATTCATATTTGTAAGATAATTACATATTACAATTACATCTGACATGTGATACAGTCCATTAAAAAGGGAGATAACAGGAGCTGTGTGTTAAAAGACATTAACAGAGAGACTGTAAGACTCTGCAGAACAGTCAGCACAAAGAGCTGAAAACCATGTCTCCAGGCCTAAAGCAATTCACAAAATAAACCACAATAGGACACAAATTATTATGAAATGTAAAGATAATATTCACAGGATGTTCAGATCCTTGTCTTTGAAGAATGAGGCTGTAACATGCAATGTGAGAATGTATGAGAATAAATATTCCTTGTGGATATTTGATATACACTGGACATCCAGTGTGGTGTTGTTGATAGGAGACAAACTAGAACTCAGGAAACCTGGGTTCCCCTCAGCCATGGAAGCTGGGGGTGTGGAATGGATAATATCACTCCTTTAATATTTCACTTATCTTGAAAGCACTATTATGGTTGCTGTAAGTCAGTTCTGACTTGACAGCACATAACAATAACAAAGCACAGGGTTAGGGTTCTGGTCCTTCACAGATAAAAATAGGCCATGAGCCTGCAGAATGGGAATGCTTCTAATTATTATTTTTATTTATCTAAAACAAACATAAACAAAAATACACAAATCAAAATAGAATGGGAATGCTTCTAACAGTCTCATGGTTACCAATATCTTTTTTTTCCAAGCTGCATCATTGGAGTGGATATTCACATATAAATGATACGTTACATATAATGACATGTTGGTTTAAAATTGCATAGCCTTCCCATTTCTACAAACATGAGCTACGTTTTACACGCACTCTCTTTTGAAGTTCAGGAGCAACAGTAGTACAGTAGGAGAAAGATATCAAATCCACATTTAACCACTAATTTTTCAGAAATAGCTCTTCCAGTTGGTCCCAGGAAATTCTCAAACAAAAAAACTGAGTACGTTTAGTTCTTTGGAAGCATTGCAACATCTGTTCATCCTTTTCCTAAGTGTGACATCTTCTTAGGTCATTGCTTATCTCTTGTTCATGCATACATGTATTAGTTCTGCTGTTTGTAATCCACCCATAGTTTAATTTAGGACTCATCTTATATACTGTGAGAGGTTATTCTATTCTTCTTTTCAAGGTATATACAGACCAAAGTAACATATGCCTAGGCAACATTTCTCCAAACTGTTTCAAGGCCTTTTATTCAGATTTTCTAGTCATACCAATATAC